TATCGGGATGTCGGGTTTGTGTGTTTTGGGTAGGCCGTATATGAATGGTAATTAAGATTCTTTTGGTTTGAGTTTATTGTATGTATGATTATCTATTAGATTTTTTGATTGAGATCCCGCTCGCGGGATCGTGGATGCGCACTGCTGAGGAGTCCCACAATAGGACGAAACGGCCGTCCAGTGCTTCCAGGTTTTCAATTGTGATGGTCTAACATTAATCGGTTCATGATCTCAATCAAAAACTTAATAATCTCCACAACCCCTATACTAGTATTAGATTTTTCTTCAAGAGTTCTCTCAATTTCTTGAAAGACGCTTCTCAGTCGTCTCTGTTAAGTCTTTTTGATATTATCGATGATAAATTTAGTAGAATCATTTAAAATAGACATTACTTTGTTAATGTATTCATCTCTGTTAAGAATGACTACACCGGAACCCTTATCTGGACGAAGTAGCAATATTGTTTCATCTTTCACAAGTTTTTTTTTAATGCTAACTAGTGATCCTTAGTCAACACCTTCGATTGCGGGATTGGTATCGTCACATACTAGTTAGTAATATCAACTAATTTCGATTTCAACCAACTGTGTTTTTCATCGTTCATGGGTTTAAGGTCTGACAATTTTGGTATAAATACTCGAACTGAGTTTCAATGTCTATTCTGCTACATTTTTTCGGAATATGAAACTTAAATTCAAGGGAGAGTGCCTCAGTTTCAATTCGAGTTACTTTTCTACTAGATAAATTCTGTATGTACTTTTCTGAATTAGTAGGAAAGGCGTTCATGCATATATATATTCCAATGCATATGTGGTTGTAAGCAACTGACGAGAAACCACGAAATATAATGAATTCATATTATTCTGTATCAATGTTTGCTCTGGCTTTATTTATTGTCTGTTTGTCTGTATTAGAAATTGGTCATTTAAGACTCTTAGCAGTGCAGCGATTTGGAAGACTCTCCCGGTCTCCCACATCGTACGAGCATTCCATGTATCTAAATATATGGTTACTCTGGTTGTCAAAAGGTGCATCGGCCTCGTAACTTCCGAAGGAACTCGGTTTTCACCATGTGGTGTCATAACTCTTCTAAATGAAGACCTTCTGACTCCCAGGGTAGAGTTTAAAAGGTTTGAATATATTTTTCTGGTTAGCGTTTTTTAGCGAGTTAGTTTTTTACGGGATGGGGTCGCTAACCCCATGCCCGACCCTCCTCCTTTGTCTAAGCTTGAGACCGGTAGTAGCCTCCGGAGGGATTCCAAGCGGAGTTCATTAAGGACTCCAAGTAGTATGAAATAAGAAATCCCATTGAAGTTTGTTGAATAGATATAAACATTTTAGATTATTAATTGATGAGGTAAACGTTTTACTATTTTAAATATTGATTCATGGTGATACATTATTTGAATAGTTTTATTGGACTATTTATTTATTTTTTTTCAGTTCGAACCAATCAATACTAAATTATCCAAATAGTTTCCCACGGGAATTTTAAGTCGGTTAATAAATTATCTAAAGATTTGTAATTAGTAGTCATGGGCTAATATTTTCACATTGTTTTGATAGTCTGATAACATAATGAGATCTAAATTTTTAATAGGCTTTAAGCAATTATATTCATTGCTCATTTACACAATGGTATATTGCTCTATTATAAATTAACTTCATAGTTGTATAAATATACCCTTGTGGGCCAGGGTAATTTTATATTGGTTTTCAGGAGGACCAGACACCATCCAAACTTTCACGTGACAACCCATACAGTACAGTTCAATTCCGTTTAACAGAAGAGCCAGTATATACAACAAAATTATGTGAAGTCAGGTTCGTATCCGATATCTTCTGGTTGAAAGTCAACTACAGTCATATTGTTATACAGAAAATTTGCATAGTTTTTTTGTATCAGCTAAATGTATGAACGATTTATTATTATGTTAGGTGGTTGTCCGATTATGGTACCGATATACACGCTTCCAATATGTGTGTTCAACTAGCTATTTAAGTAAGCTTTCAAAGGACAAATCGGAAACTTTATTAGGAAATCCAAATTAAAATACCTGCACAGATTTATCCATAAACATAGATATATGTTTCTCGGATAAATGAGCCTGATTTCAACCGATAACAAGCACCCATCAATCTCTTTAACCAATCAATTAGCTTTGAACTGGTATATTTGAACGGCCTAGCCTATCGTCTTTGCTTCCTGAAATTGGGTCCTCTCACATGATTTAAAATAGGGTCACGTTGATTATTCAAGTAAGAATATGAAGAAGATAATGTACATTTAATTCTGCTAACAAATCACATAATCAACCAATATTTCTACGGTAGCCAGTAAAGATAATCAAGATAAATCTCAACTTAATCGATAAATATTGATATGAGCCATCTAGACTGAAATATTAGATATCTTGTTATCTGGTATATTCAGAAATATTTTTTGTCCACACCTAAATAAGAGATCAGTCACATTTTAAATTTAGCACTCACCAATATCGGCTCAATCTGTCCTTGGTTGATACCCGTTTTGACATGATCAGCAATCTAAGGATATTGTAGCATGTCTTTATATCTATTTCTTACTTACGCCTGTTAGCAATCTTGGAGGAGCACAGGCCACTCACCAACATTCACCATCTAACTCTGTCCTGGACAATCCTTTCTAGTTGTTATTCATCCTTTTAATGTCTACTTTCGATCCAGTGAGCGAGAACATAAGCTGGGACAACCGAATGTAATTGATCAGAAAATTACAGAATCTATTTGTAAAATCTGACAACTATACAGGGAATACTTAATTAACAAAATGTTAATCACTTGTTTCAAACTTTACTGTTCCTCTTACAAATATCAATCAATCGTCTCAGACTTCACTGTTCCTTGATCTCCACAATAATCATTCACTGTTCTCGTTCTCTTTTCTTTGATTTTCTTAACCTTCTCCTTCCAGACATTTCACTTTTGATCGATGTTACATACTACTTATATCTATCAACATCAGTAGAACACACCACACACAATTACTGTTTTTATTTTTCAAGTTGATGACTATACATTTTGGCTTTTTCTTAGTAAGTTCCTTACCAGTTTGTTTTCACTTGACACTAATATACTTTCTAAAGAAAATATTTTTATAGACAAGTTACTTTTGACAGTTATTAGATGGAATCGATTTGACAATGAATTTTATTGTTTAATATTTTACCTTTAAAAGTTCTGCAAGTAGTGAGTAAATAAGTGATTAGTTCTATTCTCAAATGTATGTTGATTATACTACTTTACAAGCGTGCTTTTATTAACACTTAACCATAAGCAAATCATACACATATATACACACAATATTATTCTTGAAAGCATTGTAATCAAATAATATAAGAATATTTCATTCTTTCTTATACGAATTAACATCTTTAAATAGTACAGACAAATTATTCTGATTAAGTCCCATGCCAAATAAAACATGAATATAGATAGATAAACAGGTTAAGTACATAAGAGAATGAAACTCAGTTCTTCACACACACACTCTCTCTCTGTGATAATTCGGTTTATTTTAATAGATATTTCTTCCGATCCGAAGTCAGATGCCTTATTCATCAGGCCACGGAGCCCACCATATGCCCTGGTACGGCCAAGCGTGAGGAGAGTGCATTCTCCCTCTCGAAATACTCTCACATGGCTATGTGCATACAACCACTCCCAGGGAAGTCTTACTCAATGCCTTCTCATGATACGGGTGTTGTTTACGAAATTAAGAGGACAAAAAATCGAATGTTCAGCCCTTTAACTGAGTAGGTGGATACGGAGGATCCACCAAGGGGAGGTGGGAAACCCCGATTCCAAACCAATGATGCACCTGGACTTCAGGATCCTAAGGAAACAAATGGTCTGTGAACCAATTATTGGTCACCGGCTACCGCGGGACTGCATCTCCTTAGGTTGTTCCACTGCTTTATGGATTAGACCTTTAAGTCAAAAGCTCCAGGTGTGCCCGCCTAAGAAAACCACCTACTTCAGTTTGAGCACCCGAGCAGTATCCTAGCCCTACATAAATCAAATGATTTATGTAGCGTATATCTACTTGGCACCTCCATATACCAATGTTTATGTGTTTAAATAAATAAATAATAGATATATCAATAAAGAATTGCATTACTACAGTGAATAATCCGTTCAGTATTGGTTTATTTAAAAGTTCTTTATCTATTTTATTGTTTCAAAAAAAAAAACACTTCACCTCTAAAAAACTTTTCTTTTATATAAAAAACAACAACATATTGTTGCTCAGTTATTCAAGAGTTCTCATTTCTAATTGCGTGTATTTTAGAATGTGAATGAATGAATGAATGAATGAATGAATGAATAAATGAATATGTAAGTATGACAGATTCCAATGAATAAAGAAAAAAAAGTATTTTGTTTAAATAATGTTATTTATCAAAGAGCGCCATTTTCGAAAGAAAGAAAGAAAGAAAAAACAAACAAACAAACAAACAAAAAAACAGAATTGAAAACTAATCACATTGAAGTATAGAATAAGAATGGAAATATCTCTATGAAATCACTTCGATTCGGATAATTTTCTTCTATCTTATATCCATGTCTACACATATCCCCAGACATATACAAAAACACAACTGATATATGTATATCCTTTAGTTCACCAGTTTTCTTGCATAATAGCCATAAAAATTAAATTAAATCTATTGCATATATATATATATATATGTATATATGTTAGCTGGATAAATGAAAAGAGAATGGATTAATATACACAGTAAATAAGTAAGAGAGAAATGTATAAATGTGAATGTATGCATGAATTTATATATGTATGTGACAATCAGGCATAATGAAATATTGGTAAATAAAGCTAACTGGTTATATTGTTTTTAATGTAACAGTTAGTTTATCTTTAGTTTCCAGAGAAACTAACTCATCATCAGCCTCTCATACATTAGTAAACTTCAATCAATTTATCTGTTCTTTCGTGTAATCTATGATGATGATGATGATGATGATGATGATGATGATGATGATGATGATGATGATGATGATGATGATGATGATGATGATGATGATGATGATGATGATGATGATGATGATGATGATGATGATGATGATGATGATGATGATGATGATGATGATGATGATGATGATGATGATGATGATGATGATGATGATGATGATGATGGTGATGATGATGATGATGATGATGATGATGATGATGATGATGATGATGATGATGATGATGATGATGATGATGATGATGGTGATGATGATGATGATGATGATGATGATGATGATGATGATGATGATGATGATGATGATGATGATGATGATGATGATGATGATGATGATGATGATGATGATGATGATGATGATGATGATGATGATGATGATGATGATGATGATGATGATGATGATGATGATGATGATGATGATGATGATGATGATGATGATGATGATGATGATGATGATGATGGTGATGATGATGATGATGATGATGATGATGATGATGATGATGATGATGATGATGATGATGATGATGATGATGATGATGATGATGATGATGATGATGATGATGATGATGATGATGATGATGATGATGATGATGATGATGATGATGATGATGATGATGATGATGATGATGATGATGATGATGATGATGATGATGATGATGATGATGATGATGATGATGATGATGATGATGATGATGATGATGATGATGATGATGATGATGATGATGATGATGATGATGATGATGATGATGATGATGATGATGATGATGATGATGATGATGATGATGATGATGATGATGATGATGATGATGATGATGATGATGATGATGATGATGATGATGATGATGATGATGATGATGATGATGATGATGATGATGATGATGATGATGATGATGATGATGATGATGATGATGATGATGATGATGATGATGATGATGATGATGATGATGATGATGATGATGATGATGATGATGATGATGATGATGATGATGATGATGATGATGATGATGATGATGATGATGAAAATGCAGTGAGTCTTTATCGATTGAAATGGTTGAAGTGTATATTTCTTACCCCTGATTATCATTCACTTCTCTCAAAAACGTGATATTTAAAAGTGTAGTAGTAGTTTGTAAGGTAGCTAAGGTAGATCAAACTAAAATTCAGAATCTGTGTACGAAGTCATTAACTGATGAATTAAACTATGTAGGTAGGTTCAGAATAACTGGTCAGGATCCATCCTCTTGTCAGAAACAATAGCTGAAGAGACCGGGTCACATCGTCCAAAGTCTGTAGCGATGAAAGAGACACCTTTACGCATGTCCAAGGTTCTATGCTGCTTATTACCGACTAACTCCTCCGATTTCCAGTGACAATTTATAAATTAACGCGTTCAAGCATCAAACGGTTTTTGTTGTATACTCCTAAGTCTCATACTAATCCAAAGTAACTGCACAGTACTTCTTAATTTTAATGGCACCTCAACAACACAGACAACGGAGAATATCACAGATAAACTTTTAAAAGCTCTACATCATAATACTCATTTACACAAGCTTATACTATAATAATTCCTACATAAAATAATATAGTTTATGGACATAGATTATTACTTCACTCATTCACAATTATTGACAGCCGATAGACGCAAACGAAAGCTATTAACTTTTTCCTACCGTACATCTAGATATATGTATTACATCATCATGGATGTTTGTTTGAGCTATTTTCTTCTATAAAAATTGTAGACTGATGTCAATCAGGGGAGCATAAAAAATCGTGGGATGGTAACCAGTTATTTTAAAACTATTCTCATTTATTTCTGGTCTTGGGTGTGAGCTTTTAAGAAATCTCAAACCATTATACGAGTGCCGCACACTCTGAAGTTCTTTTTTATTTATGCTATTCCAACCAAACAGTAGAATATGCTTATAAATATGTACTGATTTAGTGTATATTTGTGAGTGTGCAACATCGAGAATGAAATAACAGAAAACAAATCACCTTACTAAACTAGATGCGCACTGTACTAGGCAAACAAATCACTGGATTATATGATTTACATTGAAAAATTGATTGAATGAAGTTTATGTGGAGTTTTGTAAAAGTTAAAGCTTCGTGCTAGTTAGCACTTGTCAGATAGGTGTATCTACAATCATTATAGAAATGATACTTTCTATATTACCCAATGTTATAGTCATGGAAAATACCATCAAGCTTTCCTCAGACATTGACTAACTTCCTACAGGACAGTTGTTTACATTAATTAGTCATTAAGTAGTGATCGATGTAATGTCTGTCTAATAGTTAGATTTTTTTTGGATTCTGCTAATCATTAGATTATATACTCGCTAGTCTATGTAACACACTAACATGAAGTCCTAGTGAACGAAGAAATAACTGGAAGCACTATTTATAACACATTTGGTGAACATGAAGAAAGTTTCAGACAACCTCAACCTTTTTTACTTACGCCTGTTAACCCCAATCGAGCATAGACCGCCGATCAGCATTCTCCAACCCACTCGGTCCTCTACCTTCCTTTCCAGTTATATCTAATTGTTATTCATTCCTCTCATGTCTGTCTCCATGTATCGACGTAGTGTGTTATTTGGTCTTCCTCTTCTCCTTTAGTCTTGGGTATTCCATGTGAGGACTTGCCCTGTGACGCAGTTTGGTGCTTTCCTCAATGTGTATCCTATCCACTTCCAGCGCTTCTTCCAGATTTCTTCCCCCATTGGGATCTGGTTTGTTCTCTCCCATAGTAGGTTGTTGCCGATAGTGTCTAGCCAACGGATCCGAAGTATTTTGTGTAAACAACTGTTAATAAACACTTGTATCTTCTGGATGATGGCTTTCGTAGTTCTCCAGGTTTCTGCCCCATACAGTAGAACTGTCTTGACATTTGTATTGAAGGTTCTGAATTTGGTGTTGGTTGAGAGTTGTTTTGAGTTCCAGATGTTCTTCGGTTGTGAATATACTGAACTTGCTTTGCTCAAACTTTTTTTGGTAAGGTTTAATTATAATGCCGGATCAATCAAAATCGACGGAAGGACTTCAAGGACACGGGGAAAATGTCGATTTAAGATTATGGTATTCGACAAGACGATTATCAATTTCAGTAATAAGTTTATTGTAAAACTTCAGATTTCTAATTATTTCACTCATCTACGATTGTGTTCATGAAATGGTGGTCAGATAATTCAGAGTAAGAGATGAAGTAACATTTAATTTTAATATAATTCAACAAAATAATGAAAAGAGATTAGGTATTTGTCTCTATTAAAGTTGAATCTCAAAGAAATAGTACTTAGTACTATAAACCAAAATATTCACTGTAACTTTTATGGGAATTGTATAAGAATAATCTGTACAAATTGTACTTTTCGAAGTCTTATATCAGTTATACTACGTAATATAAATTGTTTTGACTACGAGAGTAAACACCAAAAATGTGTAAGGCATTTACAGTCACTTAAGGAAACTACTTACGATCATATTATGACTCTTAAGTGAAGATGGTCTGGAGTTGTACAGATGAATTTCTTTATCTAATTTTAAAAGATCAATAAGTAATCTGGAATAATAATATTAGCACTTCAATTCATGAATCGGACTAAGACCACCGTTGAAAACCTGGGAGCACTAGACAGCTGTTTCGTTCTAGTATGGGACTCCTCAGATACGCGCATCCACGATCCCACACAAAGGACTCGAACCTAGGACCTTCGGTCTCGAGCATGAACGTTTATCCTCTAGACCACTGAGCCGACATCCAGTGGTTTTAATGTCTAACTTCAATCAATCCATGATCTTGCGCAACATTTCATCCATTGTCTGAGGTGGATGACTGTCCCACACTCAACACAGATTGGACTCCAGTAATCACGGCTTCTCATTAGAACTCCAGGAATTCGATCTTGAAGCTACTCGTTAGTGAATACATGGTGATTATTATCAGAATGGGGATTTGTGAAGATTGCAGTGATTTTATTGGTTGAATTCATAAGTCGATTTAAGTTCAACAACCATTACTACAATCTCTAAAATGTCCCACTCTGACAATAATATTACTTTGTAATTTACTATATTTCGTAGCGTTAATTACTGATTTTTATCTTCTGTTTTATGATTGGCTAGACTGGGTCAACTTTACTTATGGTTATTTTACAAATTAGTCAAGTTAAAGGCTGTGATTAAACTTCGACATATATTTCGACCACAAAATAGATAATTTTATAGAAAATAATCTTATTAATTGCTGGAAACTTTGGAAATTAATGAAAACAGCTATTAAATCAAAACTTAAAGCAACCACAAAGAATTTCCAGTCAACCCTTAGGCAATCAGGAAAAAGATTATATAATTAGATAGTCTTCAAAAAAGAAAACAATAAAAGAAATGAGAAACAGTAACGTATAAACTCGTCCTCGTGAATACAGATTGTCCGTCGTTTCGAACCTTGATAAAGACATAAATAGATTTGTAAGCGTTTTTGCATTGTTTCTAGTTAGGGTTAGGTATTCAGGGTAAGAGTTAGGGTACTAACCACACCTTGACATTAGCTTCAATGTGAAATTACTCTGTAGCCATATGAATAAATGAATTTAACACAAAATATAAGGGAAACTACCTGATCAGTTCATCCGTAAAACAGTGCCATTAGGTCGACGTTGGTTTGAAGATTAAAGGTTTAGGGTTAGGATTTAGGGACAGTGTCAGCTTGCCTGTTATATGCAATCTACAGAGAGAAAATTGAGGATTTAATACGTTTGATACCATTGATTAGGATAGGATATACATTACAGAAATCATCAAACTGCATCACGAGGCAAGCCCTAACTTGGAATCCTGAAGGGGAACGGAAAAGAGGAAGATTAATGATCACATTACGTCAAGAAATAGAAGCAGATATGAAAAGGATGAATAACAACTGGTAAGCACTCAGGACAGATTTCGATGGAGAATGCTGATGGGTGGCCTATGCTCCTCCACGAGGAGTAACAGGTGTAACTAAGTTTTTTGTTGTTGTGACACCTGAATAGAATAGTTTCATTTCAAAGTACACAATCCTTAATCCACTTGAACTCTATACAATGAATTCATGTTTACAACAAGACTTTTTTTGTTGTTCTTACCAAAAGATATCAGTTCCTTATAACCTCACTAATTCTTTTAGGTTCAATATTGAAGAAGAATGCTTGTCTTTATTGTTTCTATTTCAATATTCAATTTCAAGTTGTTGTTTTTATTTTCTTCTCAACATTAAAAACAATCTAGAAAATTATATAAAGTGTAGATCAAATTATTTTCAAATTTCATTGACTTATTTTCTGGAAAAAGAAAAAAAATATTCATTTTGAAAAGGAACGAGTAAGAGGGTGAGAGCGAGAGGGAGAGGGAGGGAGGTAGGAAGCGAGGGAGGGAGGGAGGGAGCGAGGGAAAGGGAGAAAGAAAGTAATCACTCCAGGAAACTTTTGTTTTATAATTTTATTGAAACAAAAATTTTTGATTTATTTTTACTGTCCAAACGTGTTTGTTTTTTTATTGGATTTATCGATATATATAAATATAAAGAGAAATAATTCATTAATATATATTTTATTCCACCCCCCCAAATTACGGATAGTAATAATAATGTTATTAATACAAGTATTAACGAAGTCAAACTTTCGCCATTTCACCATTTTAGTTTATTTCAAATATTCACTCATTCATAAACTTCACAATACAATGTCCTTTTACTAAAAGAGAGAGAAAAAAAACAAAAAGAAAAGAAACTGACTACTTTTTTTGAACGAATTGACTTGTCATTAAGTTGAATTCTTTTTTAGAGAAAAAAAACACACAGTGAAAGTAAATTCAATGACATGGTGCAAAGTGTGTATTTAAGTTTGTGCTCATGTATGTATAGATGTGTCTATGTATGCACATATATGTATGTGAATGTATGTTTGTGGGTAAGTAAGGTAACCAGTTAATGAATAAATATTTCGTAGACTATAACCATAATATAATGTATATCAAAAATTGAGAGAGATTGAATGAAATACATACAAATCTATGATATATGAAATAATAATTTGGGGAGAAAAAACCTTTCTATGTATATTTTGAATAGATTTTCCCAAAAATCTGTCATCAACTTGCACAAAACATTCTATAAGTTATAATATTTTCTTCATATTTGAAGTCTTTTGTTATTATTTTATTATTATTGTTGTTGTTGTGTTGGTTCAAAAGTTGTGTACTTTTATATATATATATATATATATATACACACTCACCTGCATGTGTGTGTGTTTGTTGTTCAACAAGTATACATTTATAGGTGTAACAAAATAATTCTTTTTTTTTCCTACAGAACGGTCTTTATCCACGCTTTCCTTCTAGATGAAATCTTTCAATTTAATTAAGAATATAGTTTTGCCAGGGGGGGATAAAAAAGCACTAAGGAAGGGTGTGTGTGTGTATGTATGTGGCAAGGACGAAATAATTAATCTACCATATAAATTTATACAACTGTCAGGTTTAAATCATTTTTATTGACTTCAATATCCAAATGATATATGGTCATATTTATTCATATACAAACATAAACCGGCTTCTGGTGGATAACCGAAGGAATGAATTAATAACTGCAAAACTATATATATATGAAATTAATTAAATTTTCAGCCACTTTATGAAAAACAATAGAGTGAATAATACAAATGTAATAAAATTTTCTTTTTATTCGAAAACATCCACAATATTCACTCGATTGTAAGCAAATAGAAATGACTGATTTATTTGTTATTTTTTTTGGAGTTGCACAAATTGTTTCAGGCTTCTTTAAATCTCTCTTTCTTCTGATTGGTGTATATGAGTACTTACATTTGTGTGTTTGTGTATGTATGTGAAGAATGTGCATGTCTATTATTTATCTGTATATTTATTAATTCGTCTAGTTGTGTTGTACATGTATCTAAGGTAAATGAGACAATAGGAAAGCAAAGTAGCATTTATTAGTATGACGTTATGGAGATTGTTCAGTTTTTTTATTGACATGGGACTCTTGTGTGCGGAGATCGCCGATTATTTTATTTTATTTTGTTTTATTTTAACACATAGATATTGGTACAAGGAGGCACCAAATACATATGCGCCACATAAATCATTCGATTTGTGTGAGGGCTGTGATACTGCCCGGGTGCCCAAACCGAAGCAGGTGGTTTTCTTAGGGGGCTACACCCCGAGCCTTCGACTTGAAGGTCTGACCCACAAGGCAGTGGAGTATCGTAAGGAGATGCAGTCCCATGGTAGCCAGTAACCGGAAATTGGTTCATACGCCGTTTGTTCCCACAGGATACTGGAGCCCATGTGCACCATTGATTTGGAATCCGGTTAAAGCTCCGGACATTCGCTTTTCGTCCTCTAATTTTCGTAAACAACACCCTCGCCACAAGAATGCAGTGAGTAGGACTTCCCTGTCAGAGGCTATATACGCGTGGCCATGTGGGAGCATTTCGAGAGGGAGAGCAGACTCTCCCCACTCTCGGCCGTACCAGGGCATTGCTGAGGAGTCCCATACTAGGACGGAACAACCGTACAGTTCTTCAAGTTTTTCAATGGTGTTCTAGCATTCATCGATTTATGATTTCAACCAAAAAGTAGTATTTGTGTGATATTTGGTCCTCTAGAAGATTATTCAAACAAAAATGTGATTCTCTTCAGTAGAGAAATAAATGTGAGTCTATTTATGATGTAATATAACAATAATAATAATAATAACAATCGTAACAATAAATAGTAAATTAGATTGTTATTGTTACACATTTTGATATTCAAGTTTCAATAAAATCGTTTTTGTTACAATAAGAAGTGTTGTTTAAGTTTCTATACAGTTTCGCTCTAAGTTTATTCATTTCACGAAGAAAATAACAATGTAATAATGTTACACTATAGGAATAAATCAACCTTTAGAAGACAATAATTACTTATATAATATTGTATCATCTATATTGAATGATATTTGGTGTGTGATTTAATTACCAATGTTACATTGTGTTCTATATAACTTTTAAATGTATGAAATGTTACATTGTTATCAATCTTTTCAGGATTATTCATATAAAAAGTCAAGTTTTCTAATGTTTATTGTTTTGTAACTTACTTTAAAATGAGGTTGATAATGTTAGAGTTTAACTATATGTGAATAGCTTATTTTTTTTACTGACTTACTTTACTTACACCTGTTACTCCTCATTGAAGAGCATAGACCGCCCACTAACACTCTCCATCCAACCCTGTCCTGGGCAATTTCTTTTCACTTACTGAAGGTTATTTTTAAGTGGTTTGATCCGTTTGATAAAAAATTCAGATTGTAGTTAGTAATAATAATGCATGTTTTATCCCATATAATAATCGTTAGTTGGATTTACCTGGTACATACTAATGTTGATGTACACACATGATGTACACATGAAATGTTTAATATGCTACTGACTGAACGACTGAGTTAATTTAGTCCCTAAACTTTCCAGTGAGTAGTAATAGTTTGAATTTGCTCATTATTGATTTTCATACCATATGGTATATCTGATATTGTCATTTAGTTACTGGTCAGTTAGTTCAAACAATAATTTATTATCCATCAGGCTACTAAGTCAAAATCTCCATTAACTTTCCAATAATATCTATAAGAAAGCTATATGTCAACAGGCACAGACCATATTCAATCGTAAACAATAATAGTAATCTCAATAGTTGAGATCATGAGTCAACTGAAGCTAGACCACCATGGGAAACCTGGAAGCATTGGATGGGCCTTTCGTCCTATTATGGGACTCCTCAGCAGTGCGCAACCACGATCTCGCATTAGTAATAATAATGATATTTCATATTAGTTAAAATCATTTCAATCACTTGACTGATTGGTTAACAATTAAACCAATTAATAGTTTGTTACATATTAAAAAATGACTAACCCATTGTTATAATCACTTTCTTAGAAGAGCTCAAGTTATCTAGTTTTTATCTGACTACATGTTAACTTTTCTTTTACAAAGGACGATATAAATTATAAACTTTTCTACTTTATATTTCCGCAATAATCTTTATTGTCAACGAAATAGTTGTTATCGCTTTTAGTTTGCTAATCTTAATGTGTATCCCAATGTTATTGGATGTATAAACAGATTTATGCCTTCCGAAATTTTGACTTCTTTACGGAATATAAAGTTATTCTGCAAGTCTCATCTTTACGTAGTATTGGCAAATCTATCATTAACGTTGTAGTGTTGTGTGTGTATGCTTCAGATGTCCGGTTTCTTCGAATTCACACTCGTTGAGTTATATTAGGAGGATCCCCAATCATTCGTAAATAGAATTTAGCATAGATCAAGTAGAAACCATAATACCTTAGCCGTTGTTATTAAGATATACAATCGCCCTATTTTGTTTAAATATATGACTATTTGTACTGTAGTGGACGAGAACACCGGTGGGGATAATCAGACGTATTTGACATTATATTACAGAACTTCTTGGTAAAATCTGAGAAACTTATAGTAAATACTTCATTTGCTAAATGCCAACCAATTGTCTCAGACTTGATTGTCTCCTCGTTTCCATACCAATCACTCTCTGTTCTCATCCTCTTTTTCTCGATCTTCTTAACTTTATGCCATCAGGCGTTTCAATTTAGATTGATGTACATACTACTTATATTTATTGACATCAGTAGCACACACCATAGTACTATTAGTGTCTACTAAGAATTTATTATTTTTATCATTCAACAGTGCTGAAGGTTATGTGTCTCAAACATTTACATATAAATTCATGCACTAACTAGTTTACCGGTTCATTCATTCATGTTCAAGATATTGATATCAGCCCAATAAACTTTATCAGTTAGTTATGATAAAATTATAATTTACTGAAAATTCACCGAGTACTTTTGGTTATAATTTTGGTAAGTTATTAATCATGTTTAAATCGTTTCTGTGACTATTTCCATAGTCTAGTTAATATATGATACTGTTTACTACTTTAGGGATTAACTCCGCCTGTAGCTCTTATAGGGTTACTGCCGGTCCCAAGCCCGGGTAAAGTAGGAGGGTTGGGCATGGGGTTAGCGTCCACATCCCGTAGAAAACTAACTCGCTAAAAAAACGCTTACCAAAAAACGCTTACTTTGGGGATTATCATCTTTCAACTTAATTCAGTGAGTGATAGAAAGAGTAAGATATATTCCGATTCCCCGCTAGTTAAACTGGAACAGATAGGAGTATGAATTACTGTACGTATAAGTTCTGTAAGAGAATACAACGGTTGCATTCTTAAAATACCACTCTAATAGGGATTAATAATAACAAGCATCATATTTTGGTTTACAGTTACATAATTCCGATGAAGCTATGTATTATACTGTCGAAATTTTAACTAAGAATTAAAATTTCTTTTATTCAATAGGAAGCGGTCTATGTAAATATAACTAGTCTAAATCAGTGGTTAGTGAGGTTGAAAATTTTCTACTCGCGGTTTTGATTCATACTGTTGTGTCATCGGGATGAACTCGTTGAAGAATTTTCTTTATCGTTGAATCGGTCAGAAAAAACCATTCAAACACCTTATCACCGGGATTTTAGACTATTTAAAAATGTATGTAAATAGTATTTTCTGCGATATTGATCCTTCACATTCATTGTCTAAGCTTGGATCTAAAATTCTAAGGATTAGTAATCGTGTTTATTGTCTATTTGTGTATTATCATGTTGAAATCCATTCATTTAAAGCAAATTCAAACATTTCCCTACTGACATATTAATTTCTGTATGAACTTATGTAAATTATTGAATTTCATTAACACCATAAATTGATTTCAGTTAGAAAACCGTATAAAACCTGAAAGAACTGAATGTTCATTTCGTCTTAATATGGAACTACTCAGGAACGAGCATCTACGGTTCTGTAACTGAAAACCGAGCTCAGGACTTTCTGCCATGATTGATCTCTACTGATCACTGTTTCTTACTAAAACTTTGTAAACTGTATGGAGAAATTGGTTAAGTGTGGACACTAACTAATATTAATCAGTTAATCGGTGTTTCAATCAGTGTTTTTACATCGTTATTTGTTACGAAATGTCGATGATTA